ATCGTAACTTTACGAAGTTTCTGACAACGGGCCCCAGGCAACACCTATAACATGATAACCACTACAGTGCATTTGTGTGTTGTTATATTGGGCTGGGTACTACGATACCCCGTAACTACTAAGTAATATAACCATTTCGCTTCCTAGCTAGATCATACATACGACACATACTCAGTCAGTCACCCGGGGGGGGTCACTATATATGCCGGTATTACCCCATGTGCTTTCCAAATTTTGCGGGTTAGGGGGGTGTTTTTGAACTTCTAAAGCGGGCCCGCACGGGAGCAAATAGGCCCCCCCTTTACAAAGCTAATCCCGCAATAAGCCCTCGGGATCGTTCAAGTCAAGCACCGCGCCCGCAGTAGGCCCCCTTAACGGGCCACCTCCATTCCCTCCACTCTTTGCCTTCCACTTGTCTGCAAGACCTCGCAATAGGGGGTAGGGGTCCGGGTAGGAGTCTTTCATTGTGTATGCAATAGGGGGTGGGATATTTTCATTGTTTATGCAATAGGGGGTGGTATTCTTCAATTGTCTGCAATAGGGGGTAGGGTTTTCTAATGTGCAGTTCGCACAAAGGGGCCTATTATTTTTAGTGAGAACGCACATAGGGTAATACCGGCATATATAGTGACCCCCCCCCCCTCCCGGGGTCAGTCATTACTTGGCAATGTGGGGACAAGCAGCTATAATAATTTTAATATATAAGATAAAATTCCAAATCCTTTAGATGAAGTACTCAAGGTCCTACTCTGCAGGTGAGAGAAGATCACGTCGCATCATTACAGTGATATGTTATCGTAAGCCAAGGTAGGGGGTGACTCTAGGCTTGGGTCGGGATGTATTGTCTATTGAGAACATTCACGAATAACCAACGATCGACTGGAGATTCTGGGAGATACTGCGCGGTCTAGCTGCAAGTTGTAAAGCTGCGCAAGCAAATAGATAACGACACTAATAACAGATTAACTATATCCTACATACTAAACTACATGAATTGAAATGTCGTCATTTTTACCTTATTGTCAATAAAACAGCTAAAATGCTTCACAACCAAACAACTTTCAGTTGATGCATTTCCATGGGAAGTGATGTTGCATTGAGTAAATGAACTCGCGTGCGTACACTTACCGCCGCCTATCGGACATAATTATAAGCAGATACATAACTAGAACATAACATATTTAATGAAACAATAAGCAATAGATATTTAATTAATTACGTGCGGGATTTCATGCGCATATTTGTAATTGCTCCAAAACATGTTACTTATACATTATTACGGATACCAATTAGAAAACATCGAAACGAATATAACAGAAACAGAACCGCAAAGGAATAATAAATATTTCTTGACAGTTTTGAGATTTTCACAGCCGTACATTGTTTTAACCGCGAAGGCTTGCATATATACATCGCAAATGCTCGACATTTTTGCACTATTTAAACACTAGTAAGATTATATGAAACACATAATACATATTTTATTGTTATAACTACATCGTATGATATGATATTGAATTTTAACAACTTATTAAGTTATTAACATTGCTTCAACATAACTAGTGAATCGTAATTATTAAACCAAAGAAAAAAACAAATTAACGCACTGTTAGCAAAATTATTCGATTAATTTTTTCATTTCAAATTGATAATGAAGTTACCATACAATATAGAATGTTACATCAATATAGATAGATTCGATCTGCTCATCGCAGTATACATAATTCATTACCATCACAAAAGCATAGCTATGTATTAGTGGCACTCAATCATATCGGTTCAGTTTATGGAGAAATCCGCCAGTACCCATACATAACCACGTATATTACTGTTCGCGAATATACGGTAGAAGTATGCATAGCTTTAATTACACGAATTGTTCGAACCTTTGTAACTGAGCCTTCCATTGCAGCAAATATGTGTTCGGGTGTTATAAGGGGAAGTATTGCAGCATGCGTTGTTCGAACCTTTATAACGGAGCCTTCCTTTGCAGCAAATATGTGTTCGGGTGTTATAAGGGGAAGTATTGCAGCATGCGTTGTTCGAACCTTTGTATAGGAGCCTTCCCTTGCAGCAAATATGTGTTCGGGTGTTATAAGGGGAAGTATTGCAGCATGCGTTGTTCGAACCTTTGTAACTGAGCCTTCCATTGCAGCAAATATGTGTTCGGGTGTTATATGGAGAAGTATTGCAGCATGCGTTGTTCGAACCTTTGTAACTGAGCCTTCCATTGCAGCAAATATGTGTTCGGCTGTTGTACGCTCCGCATGCTGAAATTAAATAATTAAAATTCTTCATTTACATGCGCCTATATACATGCTACACAAATAGCTTTACAGCGGGTAATTAAAATATACATGGACCAACGCATTCTACTGCAGATACATTTGAGCTCTTAGGGACTACGCGAATAATATTTCTATTATTGTATTTCAGTTGCATTATTATAAAGCGAGCGATTATCGCATTAAATCCTGACAAGATAAGCGGCTATGGGATGCGCTTACCTGGCTAATGGTGACGCCACCCAGGGAAACGAGCAGTAGTATCGCCAAGATCACCTCTCATTTCGTTGCTGGGAAATTCAGAAACTGCTGAAAATATATCATATGTAATACTGATAGAAGTAAGCGTTAATAGCGCAGAAAGTGTCATAATATAGACACATTCTATATTATCGCGTATTATGTTTCTTATTCGATATTAGCTAGGTCTATATTTCTGACACTCCCGATAGTACCTGGTAGCTTGAAATACCTGTGTGGCTTGCTACGTTGTGCGCTTGTGCCCTAGGATGCGTGCTCGCGAGCGTCCCGTGGTGGAGCGCGTGTTCAATTAGTTCGTTCTATCGTTCGTTTGTTCGTTCGTTCGTGTCGTTGTTTTGTACGTTCGTTTGTATCTTTCGTTCGTTCGCGTCGTACGTCTTTTGCGTGCGTGCTGCGTGCCGTTGCGATGAGCGCGCGTGTGTATGTCTGTATGTGTGTGTGTGTGTGTGTGTGTGTGTGTGTGTGTGTGTGTGTGTGTGTGTGAGTGCGTGAGCATGTGCGCTTGCGTGCGTGCGTGTGTGTGCGCTTGTGTGTAGCACTAAATAAAATTTCATGGCTTACCTTATGATGTCTGTCGCAGAGGAAGGTATCTGTAGCTCGGCACCGTGGTAGTGAGCGTGTACTGCTATACAGCTTGACGCGCCGATCTTATATATCATCACCCTCCCTATAAACTCCAATGTTACACGATTTTACACGCGAGATCCGGTACCTGGGAAAAACAAACAGGTGGTTTACAAATAGAGCCATTCCCAATTCTGTTGACATCACGCTTCGGTGCTTTTCCGCGATAGATCAAAATAGTAAATGTAGGTTGCACGTGGCAAAGGCGGAACTAAAAATTTGTGATACACCTGTATATATTTACAGAATTACACATTTACATATTTACATATTACCCTAGGTGCTCGACGCTAATTATGTTAGATATTGGATCAAGCGGCCTAGGCTGCCACTACGGGGTGTGGGTCCATTGAAACTCTCTCTGTCACGCTTCGCTGCGGCGAGCAAAATTTACGTCATACTAGCAGTTAGGAAGATCATAGTTTCTATTCTCCCAACTTTAACTAGGCTCTAGATCATATAGAAATAATATCTATATATTTTTCTAATATCTATATATTTCTACGCTCTAGATTAATATACCTTGTGACGACATCTACATTTAAGCCATAGTGTCGTGGCATCAAAGGCCACATGCAATAAGACGAGGCATACTCTATCTATCTATTGAGTGGGTGGGATGCTCAGTACGCTTTCACGTTTATAATTTCAATCAAGCATCTCACAAACATTACGATCTGTCGAAGTCGATGATATAATAATTGTGTCGTCTAGTGTACAGAAAAGGTTTACATATAATTACAATGATTTAATTTCATGCAGCGAAAACAATCAACGGCATAAAACGATTTTGTTAAACCTATATTAATTCTGACTCCAAATCTGCAGTAAAATTGAATTACTAATTGTTTGTTGTTTTAATTACCCGCAGTGTTAGTGCAATATATGCAATTAAACAAAGTATCGCAGTGAATTTCAGACACCGAAATGGTTTATTACTTTATTTCATGCTTTCGATTAAAATTTCTGTTTCGCAACAATTAAGAATAAGGCGGCACCTGTGAAACCTTGTTCGGTTACGTTTCAGTTCGTGTTAATTAGTTACATCGGGACAGTGCCCGACGGTGTGTAGGCACGTGATCGTGTAGGTGGTAATGTTCTAAATCCTGCGTTGTGTTATTGTTCTTAACCCTTTTTATCGTTTCGTGTTTGCGTTTCCGCTTGAAGAAATGTTAGCTAGTTCCCCTGTATCTGGTGAGACGTATTAACGAAGATAACACCAACGATTTCACAAATCCATAAAGTGAGTGATCCATAAGTGAGTTTTCCACGCACAATGATTTATTATCGCTCACGACACACTCGTGAGCAAGAGTCCAGAAATATATTAGCATAACATATGCCCCTGTCCGTCCGTCAGTCAGTACGTCAGTCTCTGAGATTGTCCGTCCGTCAGTCTCTGAAGTCGTCCGTCCGTCCGTACGTCAGTCTCTGAGATTGTCCGTCCGTCAGTCTCTGAAGTCGTCCGTCCGTCTGTACGTCAGTCTCTGAGATTGTCCGTCCGTCAGTCTCTGAAGTCGTCCGTTCGTCCGTACGTCAGTCTCTGAGCACACCTCTCTGGAGAGCTCCCAAGGTGAACCTATATGGTATCAGGACAAATACCCCCCGGACAATCTCCCCCCGGACAATTACCCCCGGACAATTACCCCCCGGACAATTACCCCCCCATGCCATTAACCCCCATGCCATTCACCCCCCCGACAACAACCCCCGAATACGCCCCCGGGAAGAAAGTTCACGCTCTCGGACATTATCCCCCCGGAACCAATCACCCCCCGGACATTTACCCGCCGCGATCAATTACCGCGTCCCAGGACAATTACGCCCCGGGACTTTACCTCCTGACAGTCATCCCCCGGACATTTACCCGTTCCAAGAATTACCACCCGTACAACACTCCGGACAATTACGCCCCGACACTTACCCGCCGGACAATTACCCTCCCGGACATCACGCGCCGTACATTTACCCCCGGAATTGTCGCCCGACAATGAAACGCCGTACATGTGTACCCTCAGACAACTCAACTCACTCCACGACCAATCACCCACCCCGGACAATTACCAGCACGCCACGCGCACAATTACCCGGACACTTTGGGTGTCATGGTGACATTTCACTGGTGTCTTATTAATTTATTGTGTGATCACGTGATTACAGGCAGGAGGTTCGAGGAGGAGTGCAAGAAATGTGGTGAGGAGGAGGGGGAGAAGGTGAGAAGTGTGGAGAGTTGTGGAGGAGAAGGAGAGGAGGGGAGAGGTAGAGTGAGAGGAGGAGAGAAAGGTTGGCAGAAGAGACAGGGGGAGAACAGGGTGAAACCACACTGCGTCACGTGTGCGGCAGGTTCTTGCCCTTCCCTAAGAACGAATTTAATACATCTAGCAATCAGTCTCATCCACGTGCTGACACCACGGTGTATCTGGCGCTATGCTATTCAGAACCTGCGCCCGAATGTCCGGATCTTCTCTCACGAATTGCCTGGCCTTTACAGGGTCGGGACGTGTGCATTCTACGCAGGAGAATTACACATCCTGTTGTGTTGCCTCCTTACTAGTCACATATATTATTTTCGCATAAATATTTGAATGTAATTACTTTTATAATTACAAGTAACTGGGCATGTTACACCTGTATCGTTAATATTTATAATGAAAAAATAATCGAATTACTCAAAATACTAAAAAAAATAAGCAATTGTTTATCCGCATTGTCGCAATTTCTCAAAACTATGTTACTGATACATTATTACGCATTATTACCGATTAGAAAGTAAATTAAACTGAATATATACAGAAGCACTAACGCACAATGGATACCAAAATCTTTTCTGATGGTTTTGAGATTCGACAGCGATGCGTAGTTTTAATCTTGATGCTTATAATCCTCCTCACTCACTCCTCACCCTACCCTAGGGAAGTCTACTCTGATAGTAAGTG